TCCCATACTACAGATGATAGATAGAATTATTCATTTAGTTAATGACATGGATGTAATTTCACTCAGAATAAGATTATGACATTAGTATTAGTGATATTATATTCAAATTAGTAATATTTATTAGTACATAAATATTAGTATGTTTTAAAAGGTAGAGAATATTCTGTTCAAAAGATGTATTGAGTACCTACATTGTATAAGACTTTTGGTTTGGAACAGTAGAGAAAAAAAATAATTCAAGAACATAATTTTCCAAGTGTGTTATTCTCAGAAGGAAGTTAAAACAATATCAAATGAATGTATTATAAGTAGTAGTAAGTAATTTTATAAGAGATGCTATAAAGAAAGCTTGTGGAAAGGAGAGATAGTTTCCTTAATCACAAGATATTCACTGAAGACTGTCTACAGTAGGTTTCTCTGTAGTCGAGTCATGAAGTTTTGAGATGAAGGAGCTGGAAATGAAAGCAACCCCAGGAAGAAAAGAGAGAACAAGATGAGTTTGGAAACCTCATACCTATTCATTGTTAATCTTTGGTTCTGCGTTGTTTCCATTATAACTTTCCAACCTGATGCATTTCCAATACTGAATCATATTTTCCTGCTGCATCTTGAATATATGCTTATTAAACACAAAATTTGGTGAATATTTATCAATTTGGGAACTATATTCATACATTCTGGATCATGATGTTTTGTAGATGTAAGGGTTAAAAATAACACTGTTCAAGTGTTTTTTTTTTTTTTTTTAATATCTTTACTTGTGGGCACAGAAAATGTTTCTCAATGTTATTAAATATATGATTTAAGTAGTCTGGTTTGTTAGGAATATGAATGGGTAGAAATGGGCTTTCAGACTAGAAGCCCCATAAGTCTGTGGCTATAATCCCATACTGGGAATGGGTTTTCTCTGTTATGTTAATGAGACAGTACCAGTGTAGTATATTTTTTAAATGGATCTCTTTTGAGATATAGAAGAGTTTAAACAAGCAAATGTACAAGCAGAGATGGAAGGAGGTACATGCCATGCCACCTGAGGATCATCAAGCAGCCAAGGAACAGAAGCTGAAGAGACATGGACCTTCCCCCAAGCCCACAGAAAGAGAAAAATCTTCCTCTAGAGCTGGGGTTTTGTCTTCGGATGTCTAGCCTCTTGACTGTGAGAATAAAAAATTCAGTTGATTAAATCCACCTACTTGTGGTATTTCTGTTTTAAGAACACTAGACTAAAACAGGACCCAAAATTATTAACAATTTAATGAAATATATTTATGATTCTTAATTTACCTTAAAGATCTACGTAAAAATATAAAGGGAATGAACTTGTTTTAGAAACAGACCTTTCTGGTTACCTAGTACCACTCTGACAAGAAATATACCACAAATGGGATGGCCTTAACAAACAGTTTATTCCTACAATTTGGAGGCTTTAAGTCCAAGTTCAAAGTGCCAGGCTCTAGAGGCTGGGTGAAAGCCCCTCAACCTTGGAGTCCAGCTCTGCCTCCTGCTCCCAGCCCACTGGAGCTAGAGGCGTTTCTTCACTCAGACAGCTGCTGGCTGCTGAGGCTGCCAAGCCCAAGGTTGACAAGTAACAAAGCACAGTCCTGATGTTAACAAATTACATGGCAGGCCATTAATTCAAGTCCATTGTAAGACCCAAGGTCGGCAGAGCATGGCAGGCTGCTGAGCAATGACACGGCTACATGCAGGGTCCAAGCATGTCATAGGCTAGTGACCATTCTCAAAACTTCTCTTATATACAAAAAGCAGACGACATCCCAAAGACAGGTACTCAGCTGCTTGTGGTAGATCCCACCATGGAGTGGATTGCCAGTCTCATCATGGGGAATATTACCACCAGCTTCCCAGCCACTCAACCAGGCCCAGCCAAGTTGATACACAAACATAACTACCACACAGCCCTTAATGAAACTGATGATAAATCAGAAACTGCTTTCAAAAAATGACTAAAATCATAGTCTACAGGAGGTGAACTAGAGAGACTTTTGTATTATCTTGGTCCAATGCCTACTGTATTTTCAAGGACAAATGTTTTATAATGAATCACACTTTAAATGAACAAAGAAAAGAATGAGTATACTGTAGTATTAGTAGACCAAGACTCAGACTCCTTACAGTTTCTTCTTGCTGACGATCACATAGTCCAAAGAGAAATCTATTTTATTTTTGGCATTCTAAGGTGAATATGTTCATCAGGAATTTTCCAAGGGTGGGTTTTGCTTTGGAGGAAGATAAGGTTTATTTGAGGTCTGCTGAGAAAAAACAAAATTTACAAAGGAAGAGGAAAATAAAACTAGTCTCTTGCATCTGTCAAAGTCTGGATTTTGACCATCTCACAGCTCTCTAGACAATGGGCTAGAGGTATGGATGGAATGGAGAGGAACACAATAAGATAATTGATGTCTGGTGGCACAGTGGTTAAGGCATTCAGCTGCTACCCAAGGGTCAGTGATTTGAACCCACCAGCTGCTCTGTGGGAGAAAGATGAGGCAGTCTACTTTCACAAAGGTGTGGAGCCTTGGAAACTTTGGAATTCTACTCTGATTTACAGGGTAACTACTGTTCAGAATTGACTTGATGGCAGTGGGCTATATTTAATTTAAATACATAATACATTGTTGTTTGGTGTCATTGAGTCCACCTCTTGGTCTATGTACAGGTTCCTCATGAGCATATTAAGTGCTCCAAATCCCAATTCTTTTCAATGTTATCCATAATTTGATATGATCCACACTGTCGAATACCTTTGCATAGTCAGTAAAATACAGATAGACATCTTTCTGGTATTCTCCACTTTCAGATAAGATCTATGTGACATCAGCAATGATATCCCTCATTTCATGTTCTCTTCTGAATCCAGTTTGCATTTCTGGAAGTTCCCTATCAAGATAGTGCTTTTAAGGTATTATCAGTTAGCTTTTACGTGTGTGTGATATTAATGATATTCAATAATTTCCACATTCTGTTGGATCACCTTTCTTTGGAAGGATCACAAATATCACTCTCTTCCAGTTAATTGGTCAGGTAGCTGTCTTTCATATTTCTTGGCATAAATGGGTAAGTGCCTCCACCACAGCATCCATTTGTTGAACATAATATGTTAGTAAGTAGTTTTATTCGCATACGATGCTTCTTCCAATGTCTTATTGATGAGAAAGAAGTAAAACAATATTTTGTTCTTGGAGGTAAAACCCTTGATTATTTCTGCCTTATTTGTGAGCAGAAATCTTCATTGAAATAAGTGGTATTTCAAATTTGAATGTGAATTAACATTCATTGGACAGAAAACAATGTGAACAAATAAATCCATTGCTGAGTATCCATTATCCCTCTTATAATCATAATGACCTCCCTTTTCTGCATCTCTGTTCTGTTCTAGGAATATAGCATTTCCAGATAACTGGACAACACAAAATCTATTCAAGAAAACAGCCATGCTCTGATCCTGCACCCACTGCCTGATGAATCTAGTGAAAGCTCCCAGTGTTACTGGCTCACATCCAAAATGGTTAAGCTAAAAACCTGAATTGTGAAACATGAACTAGTAAGGTTTATCATTTATCCTCTTTTAGTTTGCAAACGTAATCTTAGGGACTTTGAGTTATACGCCAGGCAATTTTCAGCGTTTCAGAAATTAGAAGAAGAGAAACAGAAGTGGTAATATTTGAGGTATCTTATCCCAAATGCACTGCCATCAAGTCCATTCTGACGTGGAGATCATATAGGGCAGAGTAGAACTGCCCCATGGAATTTCCAAGGCTGTAAATCTTTAACAAAGAAGATTGCCACTACTTTCTCCCATGGGGTGGCTTTGGTTTTGAACTGCCAACTTTTTGGTTACCAGTAGAAAGCTTTAACCACTGCACTATGGAGTCTCCAGATATCTCTTTAAAAATGAACAAATAATATTGTTATGCATATCAGCATTTGTGAATTACTAAATATCATTAAGGAGTTTGAAGCCAAAGTTAACTATTTAGAGGCTAAGTGTTCATTGGGTCACTACCAGGAGGTAACAACTCCATGGCAGTGGGGTAAATAAGAATTTCTTCCTCTGTTTTCTTAAGCTGGAATATCTGGGAAAGAGTGTTCAGTAAATAGCGGTGTCTTGTTATACATTTGCTGGTTCCTGGGTGGTGTAAATGGTTTCCCCTTAAACACTAATCTAACGTTAGCATTTTGAATCCATCCATGGAAGAAAGGCTGGGCAATTTGTTTCTGTAAAAATTCCAGCCAAGGAAACCCTATGTTGCAATTCTACTCTGTAACGCAAGGGGTCTATATGAGTTGCAAATAACATGATGGCATCACTGATTTTTGGTTTATTATGTATATATAGGTGTGTGTGTGTGTGTATGTGTGTGTAGTAAACATTCATTTATATAAGTATACATTAATAACTTGTAATGCACAAATATATGTGTAAATAAGTTATTCTTGATGAAGATGGAAATAATGAATGACTTTATATTTGCAACATTAAACTCAAAAGGAAGACAAATAAATTCTAAATATGGAGTGATAAACCATGCAAAACACGGGCTCCAAACACTATTGAATATGATAAAAACTAAGTAAATTCTAAATCAGAATATCTTATACCTGATTTTTCATTCATCAAATAAATGATTAAGAGCAGAAATATGTTAAAGCTAACAGACTTGTATTTGAAGAGTGATTTAGGAAAGTATTTTCATTGGCTTATTTGAGCCTTGGCAGTGGTCATTATGAAGTGGTCATTAAAAATAAAGGAATAAAGAATTGAAGTGACATATTAAGGCATAACAGCTAGAATGTCTTTGATGAGAAAATTTATGCTCCAAATATCCCATCACATCACAAGGTATCACAAATTAATTTGCTTAATATATTCTACAATGTTGCATTGCACCATAAAGTAATTTCTGTATTTCTTATTTCAGGGAAAAAAAAAAAAAAAAAACAACTACCTCAACTTGGACCTTCTCCTCATCCATGAAATCATGCTGCTGAATAACAATGTGACTGAGTTCATTCTACTTGGGTTAACACAGGATCCTGTGAAAAAGAAGATTGTGTTTGCCATTTTCTTGCTTTTCTACTTAGGGACCTTGTTGGGTAACATGCTGATTATTGTTACCATCAAGACCAGCCGGGTACTTGGGAGCCCAATGTACTTCTTCCTTTTCTACTTATCCTTCTCTGATACCTGCTTTTCTACTTCCATAGCTCCTAGAATGATTGTGGATGCAGTTTTGAAGAATAATACTATCTCTTTCAGTGAGTGCCTGATCCAAGTCTTTTCACTCCATTTTTTTGGCTCCCTGGAGGTCTTCATTCTTATCCTCATGGCCATTGACCGCTATGTGGCCATCTGTAAACCCCTGCACTACACAACCATCATGAGCTGGCGGGTCTGCAGTGTGATGGTAGCTGTAGCCTGGGTGGTGTCTTGTATGCATTCTTCCTTTCAGATATTTCTGGCCTTGAGTTTACCTTTCTGTGGTCCCAATGTGATTGATCATTATTTTTGTGACTTGCAACCTTTGTTGAAACTTGCCTGTACAGACACCTATGTAATCAATCTAATATTTGTGTCCAACAGTGGGGCCATTTGCACAGTGAGTTTTGTTGTGTTGATGTTCTCCTACATTATCATCTTGTATTCTCTGAGAAACCACAGTTCAGAAGGAAGGAAGAAAGCCCTTTCCACCTGCATCTCCCACATCATGGTAGTGATTTTGTTCTTTGGTCCTTGCATATTTATATACACACGGCCTGCAACCACCTTCTCCATGGATAAGATGATAGCTGTGCTTTATACAATTGGAACACCTTTTATTAACCCCCTGATTTATACACTGAGGAATGCAGAGGTGAAAAATGCCATGAGGAAGATATGGAGCAAGAAACAGATCTCAGAGGAGCAAAGATGAATGGAAGTTTCAAATTCTTCTTCAGAGTTTGGATTGGCTTAATATATTCAGCAGACAATATTATTTCATTGTGGATTTAATAGTATCCTATCTTAGGGAAAGAGAACTAGTTTCCTCAGGAAAATAGGTAATATAAACATTTACATTGGTTAATGTTGAGTTATTTCATGTAGATGAAGAAACACCAGGTACAAACAGGCATGTAAGATCCATTGATTTTTCACTACTGTTTCTCTGCCTGTCTTGGATACCTAGCACTACTTGTGGTTTTGATTTCTGGTGTTACTTGACTATTAAACTAAAAGGTTGGCAGTTTAAATCCACCAAGCAGTGCTACCAAAGAAATGCCTGCTGAATCTCCTTCCAAAAAGATTACAGTCTAAAAACCCTATGGAACTGTTCTCTGTACACAAATATGGAAGCCACAGATAGAAAATTTCAGTGAGCTTTCAATACCATCCAGAAAGGAGGATAACTTTAAAAGAGAGGACTAAAATGTTAATATGGATGTATGTTGCTGCACAATCACTGTACCAAAAGAACTGGAAGATCTTCATTTATTTCAGGAGGTGGCATATGACCAAGAACCAATGGCACTGAAACTGCAATGAAGGAATTGGCAAAGAACAAGGATCCAGGAATTGATGGAATATCCATTGAGATGTTTCAACAAACAGATGCCCCACTGGAGGCACTCACTCGGTTATGCCAAGAGATTTGGAAGACAGTTACCTGGCCAATTGACTGGAAGAGATCCATATTTGTAAGCATTCCACAGAAAGGTGATCCCACAGGATGTGGAACTTATCAAACAATGTCATAAATATCGTACACAAGTAAAATCTCGCTGAAGATAAGTTAAAAATGGTTGCAGCAGTATATCGGCAGAGAACTTCCAGAAATACAAGCTGGATTCAGAAGAGGATGTGGAACAAGGGATATCATTACTGATACCAGATGGATCTTAGCTGAAAGCAAAGAATACCAGAAAGATCTTTACTTGTGTTTGATAGACTATGCCAAATCATTTGATTGTGTTTATCATAACAAATTCTGGATAATATTGAGAAGAATGGGAATTCCAGAACACTTAATTGTACTCATGAAGAACCTATACAGAGACCAGGAGGCTGGTGTTTGAACAGAACAAGGGTATACTACATGCTTTAAAACCAGGAAAGGAGTGCGTCAGGGTTGTATCCTTTCAGCATACTTATTCAATCTTTATTCAGAGCAACTAATCTAAGAGGCTCAACTATGTGAAGAAGAATGTGGCCTCAGGATTGGAGGAAGACTAACTAACAACCTGCGATATACTGATGATTCAACTTTGCTTGCTGAAAATGAGGACGACTTGAAGCATTTACTGATGAAGATTGAAGACTACAGTCTGCAGTATGACTATACCTCACTATGAAGAAAACAAAAGTCCTCACAACTGGGCCAATGTGCAACATCACAATAAATGGAGAAAAGATGGAAAATGTAAAAGATTTCATATTACTTGGTTCTACAATTAACACCAATGGAAGTAGCAATCAAGACATCAGATGATGTATTGCCCTGGGAAAATCTGCTGCAGAAGACCTCTTTCAAATGTTGAAGAGCAAAGATGTCTCCTTGAGGACTAAGGTATTTTCAATCACCTCATATACATATGAGAGCTGGACAATGAATAAAGAAGAACCAGGAAGAGTTGATACTTTTGAATTTTTGTGCCAGCGAAGAATACTTAAGTACCACCGACTGCTAAAAGCTTTAACAAATCTGTCCCGGAAGTAGTGTAGCCGGAATGCTCCTTGGAAGTGAGAATAGCCAGACTTGGTCTCACCTATTTGTTCTTGTTTCAAGAAGGAACCTTTCACTGGAGAAGGATATCACACTTGGTAAGGTGGAGGGTTAATGAAAAAGGAGAAGGCCCTCAATAAGATGAATTGACACAGTGGCTGCAATGATGGACTCAGGTGTAGCAAGGACTGGGCAGTGTTTTGTTATATTGTACATAATGTTTCTATGAGTTGGTGACATGACAGAGCCTAATAACAAAAACAACATCATTACATAACTGCCAAACTATTGAGAATCATGGTCCAGACAAGTTGACACATATTGTCAATAATCATAGCAAGCATTACTCTTTTCTTGGACTTTAGCATTTGTTACTGTTAGACATACATCATTAATAGACAAAATAGTCAGATTGTAGATTTTTTACTATTTTTGTAAATGTAAAATGCTAGATAATTAAATAAACGAGAAGTGAGGATAGGTATGCATACATATATATATACGTTTATATGTATATATATTTACATATATATTTATACATTTGTATGTGTGTGTTTATGTGTGTATGTGTGTATATATATATATATATGTACACATCCTAATGAATTGTGCTGTTAACGAAGAATATTGAAAGTACAATGGACTGCCAGAAGAATGAACAAATCTTTCCTGGAAGAAATGCAGCTGGATTGCTCCTTGGAAGTGAGAAAGGCCAGACTTCACCTTACCTACTTTGATCATTGTTCTGGTTCCCTAGTGCTGCTCTGACAAGAATATATCACAAATACAATGGCCTTACCAAACAGGAGTTTATTCTTACAATTTGGAGGCTTTTAGTCCAAGTTCAAAGTGCCAGGCTCTAGGGGCTGGGTGAAAGCCCCTCAACCTTGGGTTGCAGCTCTGCATCCTGCTCCCAGCCCACTGAACCTGGAGGCTTTTCTTCATTCAGGTAGCTACTGGCTGCTGAGGCTAACAAAACCAAGGTTGACAAGTAAAGAGACATAGTCCCTATGTTACCAACTCACATAGCAGGTCATTACTTCAAGCCATTGTACTTTGCAAGGTCAGCAGAGCATGGCAGGCTGCTGAACAATGACCAAGCTATTTTCAGGGTCCAAGCATGCCATAGGCTAGAGACCTATATACAGGCTTCTCCTTATATACAGGAAGCAGACCACATCCCAAAGGCAGCTTCTCAGCTGCTTGTGGTAGATCCCACCATGGAGTTGATTGCCAATCTCATCATGGGGAATAACTACCACCATCTGCCCAGCCACTCGACCAGGCCCAGCCAAGTTGACACACAAACATAACCACCACAATCATGTTGTCTGAAGGGACTATTCCCTGGAGAAAGATATGCTTGTTAAAGGAGATGGTCAGCAAAAAAGGGGAAGATCCTTAATGAGGCCCTTGATGAATACAGTGTCGGTCTCAAGCACAGCAAGGATTCTGAGGATGCCACAAGACGGGGCAATGTTTTGTTCTGTTGTGCAGAGTCACTATGATTCGGAGGTGGCTCGAAGGCACCTACCAACAAAAGTACACCTTTTACTAATTCTGTGGTTTGTGGTGGAGGATGAGTATAGGCCACAGAACAGAACCTCTGTTTTTAGGATGTTAATGTGACTCACTTGAATTGCCCCCTTGCAAACAAATGGCAAGATGGGGGGCAGGATTGTCTCTTAATAGAGAGAGAGAGAAATTATGGCCCAGGGTGTGACTGGAGTTCACTTTTCTGCCATGTTTCCTCTCTACCAATGAAATTATTATTATTTTTTTCTTCTTGTTTTCCACATACATTTCATCACCCTTCATCACCCTTCATCTTCTTCCTTTTTTTCTGTGGTACTTTTGGTCTGCCTGAGGCACCTAACTCTTCCAAACTCTTGATTGTTCCTTGTTTCTGAGTATGAAGAGGGTTACTTCCCTCAAGATGCAAGGGGTAAGCACTGGGCTGCTAATACAAATGCTAATTCATCCACTCCCTGAGAGAAAAGACACAGCAGTCAGCTCTCATAAAGATTACAGCCTAGGAAAGCCCACTCTATCCTATAGGGTCACTATGAGTCTGACTAGACTTCATGGCACCCAACAATAATTTTATATTCTTATAAACTAATTAAGGAGCTCTGGTGCAATAGTGTCTAAGGTATTTGACTGCTAACAGAAGGTTGGCAGTTCAAACCCACCAGCAAGACAAAACGATTTACTTCTTTAAAGATTCACCTCCTGGGAAACCCAGTGGGGGTGGCTACTAGTCAGAATCAACTGAATGGCAGTGACTTTATAAGCTAAAGAGACCAATAAAAAGTCAAATGTTTATACACCTGGGAATTTTCTGACTAGCACAGGAAGGGAATCTTTAGGGAATGGTACTCTTTAGAATGCTAATCCCTTATGTCCCTTTCTCTTGAAATATTCCCTTTAGAATGGAGAGAAGATGCCCCCCCCCCCCCAGTATTCTATGTGCAGGCTTATTTTAAAAAGGAATGTAGAGTCTTGATAGTAACTAAGGCAGTCTTCTAATAGGTAAGTCATACATTATTTCTATCTTTATGAGCTCAGAGAAACTTCATTACAGAACAATCCAACATAATTTTCTAATATTCATCTATGCTTTGTGACTATTCTGCTCCCACATTCTCTGAAAAAGGAAGAAAGAGAGAGAAAAAAATAAAAGAACACAATGTGTGTGAAAGTTTGCTGCTAACTAAGCATACAAATAGAATAAAATATAAATTTTGGAAAAAAATCTTTTGAATTCAACAAATATTTTATGAGCTGCTGGTATATGAAAGTCGTCATTGTTGTGTGCAGAGTGTGTGTGTGTGATGCCCATGCCTATCATTTCTTGAAATGACAGAGTGTACAAAATGCACTTAAGCTTGAATGTACTCTCAAAAAACTTCAAGTACTAGAAAATTAGAAAAGCTTATGTCTGATTAGAAATTAGATAAAAAGTTAACGGGAAAGTGGTGACTTGACATTATTCCATGAGAATGTTAAATTTTCCTTCTTCAAGTGGACACATTAAATGGCATATTGTTCCTTTTAAAAACAAAACAAATGCATTGCCGCCAAATCAAATCTGACTCTTAGCAACCCCTGCTTGGGTTTCCGAGGCAATATCATTACGGAAGTAAATTGCCCAACCTTCCTTCTGAGGAGTGGCTGGTGGGTTTGAACCTCCAGTTTTCTGGTTAGCAGTC